TCATTATGGCTTCTATCCTCTGCTGTAGAACCGTCCAAGCCGGGCCGACACGAGCACAAGCACAAAATTTATGCAGAAGAGTTTCAGTCGTGTGATTGCCACAATGTGTGCAGTTTTCGTCCGGTACTCTCTGCATCACGAACAGTAGTTTTCGGCAGGGTTGCTTCCACTCACTTGCTATAAAAACATATTTTTCGGAATTATGCAATCACTAGATGATATAATGATATGTTGTACTTGTAAGTAACGAGAAGAGGGTTTAAAGTATGTGTTTGACTCATAAAACCTGTCAATTTTGCTTTCAGAGCGTCACAATAAGCGATCTTATGATTCGTGAGCGTTCACTCAGAGTGAGCACTCACGAGTCGTAAAATTGCTGATTGTGACGCACTGAAAGCAATATTGACAGATTTTATGTATGAAACATATACTTCACATCCTCATCTTGTAACTTACAAGTACTAATTATCACTATACCATCTAATGATTTCATAATTCTGAAAAAAAAAATTATAGCAGGTGAGTGGAAGTAACCCTGGTTTTCGGTGCTCGATTTTCTCATTTACGAGCAGGTAGAGTTTTGATCGCTGCGCTGAAGATAGCTGCTTTACTGCAATGTTCCGTCGTGGCCAGTCGTTTCCCGGATTGTTTTGTCGTTTTGGTCGTTCAGTTTGCTTGACGAAATGCTGATGGATTTCGCTAATACACACGAGAAGCATTTCTTATAGAAAACTTGCCATAACAAAATGGGCATGGTTCATTTTAGTAAACAAACTAACACTTCTTCCAACTGTGTCACCTCTCTTACTCGCCTAGAACGGGTCCCCTTGCCGTACGGAGCGTTGGATCTCGAGATGTAGATCGGCTAGCAATACGCGAGAGTAGAGCGATGAGTTCTGGGTTGAATCCGAGCGAGCACATGGTATCGAATAGAAACGAGTGCCGGACCCGATCGAACGCATGATCTAGGTCCTAGGCGAGTAAGAGAGGTGACACAGTCGGAAGAAGTGTTAGTTTGTTTACTAATATGAACCATGCCCATTTTGTTATGGCAAGTTTGCTATAAGAAATGCTCCTCGTGTTTATTAGCGAAATTCACATCAAAGATTGATTAAATGCGTAGGAAATCAGTTTGGCACGGCATTTGTGACCAGCATACACCTTCCGGTCGTATGAAACAGGTCAAAAACTGTCCAAATCCACAGATAAAAAAAATTTGTTTTGAATTTCTGTATGGCAAAATAGTGAACTTTTCGTGAACATTAACGGCAAAGAACTCACCAACACTGGGAGACCGTGAGTTTCTGCCCACCTGTCATTTCCCATCTCGATCTAGGTCCGACAAACAAAATGGGCATGGTTCATTTTAGTATACAAACTAACACTTCTTCCGACTGTGTCACCTCTCTTACTCGCCTAGACCCTGGCTCGTGCGTTTCGGCAGTTCGGGAAAAAACGTCCAACGATACCGCTGGTGGAGCGGTGGATTTTCTGACCGAACGGTTTCGTGCTTGGTGGTTTCGCACCAGCTGGTTTTTTTTTCGGTTGATGACCGGTTGTTGACCTATAACTCTGTCCAGTTTGCTTCGTCACGTTTGCGTAGCTTTTCTGAAACAGTAGTTTCTTGTTCTGGACACATGATATGCCAGTGTGTGCGTGCTCTTTGCAGTGCCGGCAGGATTGCAGCTGCCCCTTGTACACCATGAACGCCTGCTCTCCGTCGATGATGACCCACCAGTCGATGTTCCGCTGCACTAACATACGGACAGACCATATACCGAGCGGTATGCCTTCGCATTCGTTGTTTTCACTCCATGATACCTCGCGAATCGAGATTACTTCGCCGAGCACGCTTAGGAATTGTACGACCTTCTCTTCAGATACACCGTAAACCTTCACCTCAACACTACCGTCTTCCAACGTAACCCGAAGCTTGTGTTTCTTCCCCTCACACTCAACTTCATGTTTTCCATCATGTTCGTCAACAACTTTTTGTGCAAGCGTCAAGTCACTGACTTTGATAAACGCACATGCTCCACCTCTGTGGCACTGTAGTCTTTTGATATCTTCCCTTTTCAAACCGAGAACCAGTGTTCACTCGGCTGTCGACAAAAGCAGGCCACTCTCGATGTGTGCTACGCGATCGTCTGTTTTCTCGGCAGCAACCATTGTGTGGTCCTCCTCATTGTTCTTCATCAGCAGTTCTTTCGGTCGATGCGTCGTCGACTTTGGAAAGCAACCGTTTCGTGATGAGTGTGTGAATGCTGACCACGTTTTGCGACCATTGCTACAATGGACGCGCTCTGACCCTCGTTGGCGTACAACAATTTGCCATACAATGAAACTACTGGAAGTGGATCCCGTTCTGATGGAGGAGGCTTTTTGGATAGCGGAAGACAAAGTGTTTATTGTGTTGTACCTTTTGACTATAGTTTTAAGATGTATTGTATAGTGACCAAGAATCCTCGGCTCTGTAAAGTTAATTCGGTTGAGCCTTATCAAATAAATAAATAAACAAAAAAAAAAAAAACCGAGAACCGACCGACAAAATCCATAAAGTTTTTCGACCATTGGCTTGGTGAAGTTCGAATAATCGATTTTAAAAGTGTTTTCTCGCCTCATCGCGGAACACTTTACCACGCGACGCGGTACAGCCAAGTAGACAAATATCCAACTGTAAATGCTTCACTTGTGATAAGCGCACAAAGATGTGAGTATTTTCGAAATCCCAGTAACGTCTAGAGGCCAGAAACCGATGTTTGACGCCATTTTAAAATCTAAGATGGCGGTTTTTATGAAATACTGCCAAATACCGATCAATGTGAGTATTTTTGGAATCAGGGCAACATCTAGAGGCTGGAAATCAATGTCCGACGCCATCATGAAATTCAAGATGGTACCTTCTGATTTTAGAAAAAAGTGTCAAATACCCTACAAATGGTGTCGAATATTGATTTTCCTTAAATCCTTAAATTCCTTAAATACCAATATTGTAGGGTATTTGGGACTTTTCCTGAGCCCAATGGCCGCCATCTTGGACTCCAGAATGGCCTCTTTAGTGTAATATTCGTTAATATAAAATAAAATTTTGTTTCTACATATAATCCGGATGCCATGCCTATCGGCAACCGATACTGTGCGGATACTATCCGGTTACTATATTTTGAGCCTGAGCGACGCGTGTCAAGTCGAATTAGCCCCGAATTGAAGTGAAAGTGGAAAAACAGTTTTTGAGTCATTCATTGCATCAATTGAAACAAGTCTTTGCTTCAAATGAAATGAACTGATGCACTTGACGAACGAAACAAGCGATAGTCAAGTCATGTTTGACAGGAGGAATTTTCATCGTGACTCGATAACAAAAAACACAATGACTTACACGAAAATGATATTGTTCGAAATGAAGCGATTCTGTGGAGCGTTCATTTTTTACCCTTCTTACAAAGAAGGGTATAGATATCACTTGAAAAATCGACTATCGATCCGAGGCCCAGAGGGCCGAGTGTCATATACCATTCGACTCAGCTCGACGAGATCGGAACATGTCTGTGTGTGTGTGTGTATGTGTGTGTGTGTGTGTGTGTGCGTGTGTGTGTGTGTGTGTGTGTGTGTGTGTGTGTGTGTGTGTGTGTGTGTGTGTGTGTGTGTGTGTGTGTGTGTGTGTGTGTGTGTGTGTGTGTGTGTGTGTGTGTGTGTGTGTGTGTGTGTGTGTGTGTGTGTGTGTGTGTGTGTGTGTGTGTGTGTGTGTGTGTGTGTGTGTGTGTGTGTGTATGTGTGTATGTGTGTATGTGTGTATGTGTGTGTGTATGTAACGAAATGAATGCGCTCACGTTTCTCAGCAACCGCTCAACCGATTTGGACAAACTTGGCGCCAAATGATAGGTCTTGGGGTCCCATTGAACGGTTTTGGAATCGGTGAACCGGTTCCGGAGATATGGCCGGAATAAGATCCGGTGAATATGGGCCTTCACGCTGGATTTAACGGAAAACGTATCAAAACCATCATGCGACACATCAAATTACTACAGAATTCAAAAATAAGATCAATGAAAGTCGTGTTAAGTGTTCCAGACCACATTGGACACACTTGGACATGTTCCGGGTACCCCGGGGAAGTTGCTTGAATATGAATTGAATTAAAACCCATTAAATCACATTAAAATACGTTGATAAGGTGATTGGTAGCCTCACCAAATATACTACACCCGGATATATTCCGGGTACCCCCAGGCAGTGGCGTAGCGTCACTGGATGAGGGGGGGGGGGGGGGGTGGAAGGCTTGGTCACTGATAATGACAATAAAATAAATAAACTTGAATAAGTAAGAAGGGTCTGATCACACCATAGGTGGATAAATTCGGGTTTTTTTTCTTTGTTTCGAAAATGTAGAACCCTGCTTGGCTCATTTTCCCTAGTTTCATAGAACTAGGAGAGGGTAAAGTAAAATCAATTTGCCAGTTGGCGTGGATTTGCTCATTTGAGAATGAAAAAAAACCACCTTGCATTCATATCGATTTCGAGATTCGATGCGTTTTCAAGCAACACATTATGCTCTCATTTACGACTGGAAACGTGAAAATTCACAGTCAACTGAATAATCAAAACCACCACCAGCATAGCACCTACCGACATACGATGAAATCCCCGCAAGTGGAAGTAATGTTTCGATTTGATACGATTAAAAAAATATTCGAACAGCGTTTAATTATTCCCCAAACGGTCGGTGCACGGTTGGCTGGTTAGCAAATCATGCATTCGGTGATTGGAATGTACATTTCGGTATACAGGAATCACAATGGTCATTGGGAAATCAATCCCAAGTAATAACAGTCATTTTTGCTTTTTTAAAAGCTTGTGCATAATTAATGTATTCGGGAAATGGAAAACAATCCACGGCAGATGTTTGATTGATGGAAATTTAAGTTCAACACTAGTGGGTAGACACAATTTCCAGAATTTTCAATATTGTTGATTCGAGAACATATTCAGCTCAAAAAGACTTACCGATCGAGAGCAATGGCCACCAGGTGGAGGATCGATGCCGTGCAGCACAGGACATCGCTGGAGGTCCACATGTCGCAGAGGTCCGCTCCGAGTCGCCACTCTTTCGACACTTCGTACACGGCTCCGAGGGGCATCACCAGGCAGGCCACCAGAAGGTCTGCCACGGCCAGCGATAATATCAGATGGTTGGCCACACTCTGGAGGTTCCGTTCCAGCAGAATGGCCGCTATTACGAATACGTTTCCTGTATTGAGAATGACAAGAGAATGGGATTATTTATAGTTTCTTGACTGGATAGTGGATTGGATGCACATGAATATTTGACCCGCATTTTCCCTTTCGCCTTGTTGGAAAAAAGCTACTCATACATTTTGAGGTTAATTCCCGAATTTGAATAATAGTCATCATCAAATCCGACAGATTTCACCTGCCAGTGGTAAATAATCGGTTTTCGGCATGGAGATTTCCGAAAAATAATCGATTTCCAAAAATGTATGATGTAGAATTAATATATCCGACAAATTGCATCGTTTTTTATATTTTTAATTAGAATTGAATCTCGCCAAACATTCTTGAGTCGATTTTCCACCAGCCCACACACTGAAACGAATCTTCCTCAGAGATTGAGTATTCGTATGGAGAAATTTCTAAAAGCGTAGGATACTCATGCGCTGAGTGACCTACGCTTTTAGATATTTCACCATACAACTGAGTAAAAGTGACTCACTCCCTGAGTTAGTTTCGTTTTCAGTGTACGATTGAAGACTGCTCGCCCTCACACCTAATTATCAAACAATTTATTTAATCTTCAAAGTGCTAATCGGCAGCATTCCATCTAGTCATATTTCGAACTGCAAAACCCTCTACTGCCCTCTATATTTGGGAAGCCATGTAAGCAGTATTGTTCGTTAGTGGTTTTTTGCTAATGGTGGCGCATTCGTTTGGGTGGTGGTGGTAATCTATTTGATGAGGTTTTTCTCTGCTGATTGTCCCTAGCTAAACGGACACACACAACACCTGCTGAACGAAGTGAAGCATGTGTTTGGACCATGGGAGAGATATAGCCTGCCTGTGCCCACAACGCCGCAACTAGATTGATTACGAAGTTATGGTGTGTTTTGTTGACCTGATTGAGGTCGTTTTTGCTTCATTTGCCAAATGCTACGAGGTTACTTGATTGATGGGAGGGGGTAGGGAATTTTATCCGGTGATTGATTATGCAGTTAAAGAGTACTATAGTAGAGTAGTTAAATGATATGATGCCAGACGTAAAATACTGCAAAACTTGACGAAGGAGGCTTTTAGAACAGAGCTTCGCTTGATTAAAATAATATCACTTACTAGGCAGACGAAGATAATTTCCCAGACATGATGAACCTTTCTAGAGACACATATTTTACTAAACTCCTTGATTGATGACCGTGCCGTGAAATCTGTCGTCAGATTACGGATCGATCCATCTTTGGCGAGACGCACACTCGATTTTCTACTGTACTGAGACACGGGATCATGGACAAAACACTGCTGTGTAAGTTAGCGGAACAAAATTAATCAAAACATTTACCGGTCTGGCAGTAATTTATTATACATCTTCCAGCGACAAGGACTACGACGACGACGACGACGACGACGACAAAGGCAGACGGAACTGTGTCACCGTCGTCACTGAGTTGTGTTTCAGCTGTCAACGTTGACAACGAGGACAGTGACGAAAACGGCCGTTGAGTGAATTTCTGCTTTCATGTCAAGGAGACAGTTTTAGGTGATGAGTTTGTTATCACATTGAAAGTTAAAGTCAATCAAGAATTTGGGAATCAATCTGACAAACTTTGCGACTGAATTTTAATAAATTTCTGCAAAGTTAATTGAAATTTGAAGTGGTTCGCTTTTGTTGCCTACTGACAGAGGTACATCAGAAGCTGGTTTATAATGAAGATAAATTTCTTTATATAGTATATGTGTCTATGTGGAATGCAAAAACCACTGCAATCATTTCCGTTACTTGGGCGTTGTTCCCTTTAGGATGAGGCGTTTTCATTTCCTTAGTTCGATCTGTTTAGAATGAAACGGAATGTTCTAAAAAATAAAACGACGGTTATGGGAGAATCTAGCGCTGCTCGAAAACCATTGAGTTTAAGTAAAGCATAAAATCCAGGAAGGCGGTTAACACAGCAAAAATGAGAGCAACATTTTACACTGCTGAATCAAACGGAAAACTAATCCTGCTTTTAATGAAATAAATTTAATAACTGATTTTGCATTCATAATGTTTAATGGTTATCATCCATGCTTTTCACGCTGAAAGACTTGATCTCAAATCTCACCTCGGTTTAGTCACGAATGACCTTAAATATGTTAAACAAAACAAATAAACGGCATATGAACTTAAATCAAATTTTAAACAAGAAATTAACAGCAGAACTTCAAGTTAAGTTGCTTTGATTAAAAATGTCTTGACTGCATAATGAAAGCACAATATGAAATCAGACTTCTGTAGCGACAATTGAAATCAAAATGTATTTTCATTATGATAGGAACTGCAAACTTTAATATCGATTTGCTTGCATTTTGTTAACGGACTTTGCTCGGGTAATGACTACAATAAAATCAAACAAACAACAATAGTTCCATCATCAACTTTATCAGCCAAGATGAAGAAGGACTAACTTATAGAACTTGAAACATATCCCGCTCCTCCTCTTCGGCAGATATAATAAATATTCCATAACTCTTCAACCCTGCAATAAACCGCGAATCAAATATTGCTCTTCCCGCAATGTCATCCGGTTAAGTTTTTATTAGCTACGAATCCACCTCGAGCGACAATCTCCCCCCAAGACAAAAGCATGACAAAACAGCAGTCACGCATGGAATCATCCTCTGGGACGTCGGAGCAAAGCGCCTCTTCAAATTGTGTCGTATCGTTGTCCTATTTCACTCATACCGCATATCTGGTTCCGCCGACGACGAGGCCACCGCAACGGAGATGGCAGCTCAACTTCCGCTCTGAAATTAAGTTTCCGAGTTCAAACATGCAGAACCCGTGACGGAAACGCAATGAAAACCGTTGACGAGCAGAAGATGATATTTCCCCGAACAAGTTCCATCATATTCCGCGTACAGTCTCAACAATACCCAAGTACCGGTTTACTATCATCCCTCTTCAAGAGAGAGGGACAGACAAAACAAAAGTCTATCACCGGGTACACGGTCGGAACGGGGAAAGGAAATAGACCCCCGGAGTGCTTATCAAATTTTTTAATCAAATTCGGAATCAGTCGTGCTCACTTCCCGCGGGCTGTCTTCCCCTCTCTCTTTCGTCATACATATTCCCCTTGAAACCTAACATAAGTGGAAAAGTGAAAGTGGAAAAGGATGTTTCCTACTCCAATCACGCTTCGGCGGCGCGGTTGAGGATGGTCGAGGACCGCAGGGCCGACCTTCTGATTTATAAGGATGATGCTTGAATTTCAATCCGACGAAGCGTTGAGCTTTTCACCTGCCACACTGGCTGTGAGAAGCACGTTTGAGATTTTGGGTCATCGGTGGGACGGTGAGCGGGGAGAAAAATTCACCCCGTCTTAGATTCCTGCACAGTATCCGTCGCTGGACATACCGGGATGTTGATTTCCGTTAGGTACACATGGAATTGGCATACTCTCTCTCGTCACGTTCACATCAAGTTGATCCCAAGTGTGGGAGAGCTGCCTTCCTGGCACGTCGGTAGCATTGGTGCTCAGCACGGAAAACAAGATCGACGGAAAAAAACAAACCAAAGGAGATCAAGTGCAATCTGTTTTTACTTTCATGAAACTTTGCTCAATTATTCGTAATGAACAATTTCTTTTAATCAGACATTTGACTATTGACTCATTTTTCATTTACACGTTTCAATAATTTATAGTACCAAAACGTCTCTTCTATTTTAAATGTGAAACAAAGTTCTAGAAAACAGTAATAATATAATAGCAATACACAACGCTTAGATCTAATTTTGGGCCTACTATGCACAAGCTACACCCCTGTACTTTGGTCAGAGAGCGTATAGGGCGTCGTTGTGCCAATTAATCATACCGTCCGGCCATTTTCCACAGAGATGGCGCTGTTCTGCTGGTAGGAAGTGATAAAAATCCCCATATATAAATTTGAAAGAGAGGGCACGGCGGCGTTTGACAAGAGGCTTTCAAAACTCACGGTGGATCAAGGCTCGGAGTACGGTTCATTTGAGCAGAAGAGATGGTACAATACGGGAGGAGTGCAAGTTGAAACGACTGTTGCGTACACCCTACTGTAAAATGGGGTAGCTGAAAGATTCAAACGTACGCTTATCGAGAAGGTTCGTGTGATGCTCCTAGTCTAGGAGTCCTAGATTCTGGAATGCCGAAGCAGAGGTGGTGTGAAGCAGCGTTTACAGGTGAGTTTTTACTTAACAGAAGCCCCACAGCAGCCCTTCCGTGCAAATCGACTCCCGCGGAGTTGTGACTAGGTATGAAACCGAAGAGTTAAGAATTTGTAGATGCAGAGCCTTCTACAGCGCAGCGCCATTTCCTGGTAAGATACTGGATTACTTAGTAAGTTACGGAGCAACTTCAGATGTTCCCGAAACGTTTTGGTCAAATTGCCAACCGAGACGACAGATACGATTGGATGCGTGCCGTGGCGAGCCTGCAGATACGAGCAAATTCTGTGGAGAAACGATCCATCCGAGCCAATTCGTGTCTACCATATGAAGACGGTTAAGTACGGACTGTCCAGCTCACTGTACCTGGCAACTCTAGTACTCAATCAATTGGCATCTGATGACGGAGAATACTACCCACTCGCAGTGTCAGGCATTCGGAAGGAAACCTACGTCGACGACGTATTGACTGGGGCACGACGATCTACACACCCTTCAGGAAACGTGTGGGCAGCTCATCACCTTGCTTGAAGGTGCAGGTTTCGTATTGTGAAAATGGGCGGCCAACGACAAGTGCGGCACTAGTGAACGTTCCTCCCGAGTTATGGGAAACCTCCACAAAGTTTGAAATCGATTGTTCGACTGCCGTCAAGACGCTTGGCCTTCTGTGGTTTCCTGAATCTGACCAGCTCATGTTCAAGATAACAGCCCTTCTTGAGCACGCCGTCATCACCAAGTGGGTAGTTGTGTCCGCTTGTTCGACCCCATCGGTCTGCTTGGGCCTGTCGTACTGTGTGCCAAAATGTTTGTGCAAACTCTCTGGGCGGAACACTTGTTCTCTACCG